ATAGCATATTTTTCCTCCACCGCAGTTTCTACATGAACCCAAAGTGAACACATTAGACACATCACCTATAGTTCACCTACAGCCCTCTGAAAATCATGCATTCTTCATCTTCGGCGAGGGAAGATATCCTTGGTAAAACTTCCAATTCGAAAGAGCGAGATGACATGCCGTTTGATTCCTCATCGGAGTCTTTCTTTTACTTTTTGTTTAACTTCAGAATTTCTTAAATCTCTCGCTCTTCTACTTATTTGGGATTAAATTCTAAAATTCTCTCTTGACCTCTTTCTTCTTCTTCTTCGTACTGTGTGGAACAGATAGGCTTCAAAGGAGGCTCTTGCTTTCAATTAGGCTCCTAAGGTATAATGAGTGCCAAATGCCTTAATTTTACAAGACGTAAAATTGGGGACCCGCATTACGGACATTTCGGGAGCTCCGAGTATGCACCAGCGTGTTTATATTTCAAATGACATTTACATTTTTACAAGGCAAGTAAAATAAATTACATTACCCTACATCAATGGCCTGTAATGTCCCGTTCAAAATAGTGTAATGGTTAGAAGACTTACCGATGATGTACCGAACTGCGAATATGCACTTAAAAAAAGCTTTGCCTTTCACTGTATGCACTAATAACTGGCTGTCCTGCAATATGTGAAGATGAAGACTCTACCGCTTAACTGAGCTGCGGTCTTACAAATACCTAATCTTTCAGTACGTTTCCAATAGGCAATAGCACTCTACAGAACTGCAAATCAAGGAGATTGCATTAGGATACGGACTTGTTTGGGGTTTGGGTACTTTCCTCTCCGTATATCAGGAATTGTACGAAAGTGCAAGCGTCGCTAAAGAATCTCCAAGAGATTTGTTTCTTTGGTACTATATATAAAGATGGAACTCGAACTATTTGAGAGTGACGTATAATTCCTTCTTCGCACACGGCAAATAGAATGAGCAGAAGCACTGGGCGAAAATAATTTAATTCTGGGATGTTCTGAAATAAAATAATTTCAAATGATTTGAAATGATTAGTAAGTTTATCTACTAAATTTCCGGTTGCCCAATCGGACAGTAAAGAGTAATTAGACAGACAGTTCTCTCATCTTAAAGGTACTATTTGATACTTTTAAGGGGACTAAACAAAATTCCACTGAAAATTGCAACGTAGTTTAAGATCTAAATCCAGAAATACTTCACCAAAAGTGTTATAGTTATATGTGATCAAAAGAGAGACTCATTAGCAGTCGGTAATTGCAATGGAGTTTAACAGTGTTTTTTCAATCACAATGCTTGGAATCGTACTTACGTCTGAACTAGTGACGATGAAAAAGATAGTTTTCAAATTGGTCTCGCAGCGAAAAAGTTGTTTCTTAATAGGGCGATCGCCCCCGTCATTAGTGATGGCCCCCGTCGTTTTCCGCACGCAAATCGCAAGGCGAATTGTATGTATGTACTTCGGGACCGTTTTAATGACACCGTCAAAGTCAACGCCAAGTGTTTTTCAAAGATTCTAGCTGAGTAGCTAACTTTGCAGAGCGGGAAGAACGCGGTCTTGAATAAGGCCTGCTAGTGGAATTATGTTCTATGGGTTGATTTACTCATCTTCAACTATTGAACGTGAATCGTCAATTTCTCAATTTTCTTTAATTAAAAGGGCTAATTGCAAATTAATAATTTTATTAGAAACAGTACCCAATGAAATGGGTTGAACAGTTTGATAGAATTGAGCGATGGCAAATCTGAATTGCGATAATCTTGTGATAATGGCTAACCTCAAGTCGAGATTTGTTTGTTGTGGAAAATTGCCTGTACATGTGGTGGTAGGCTTTGAAGTCACAAAGCTTTAATTAGAAGTTAGCCAACAACAGTTGAAGAAACAAAACTTAGCTAATGTAGAATTAGTTTAGGGTGGTTTCTATTCTCAAGTTCTTCTTATAACACAACTGCTTAATTTCCTTTTCTTCAGAAGCAGATAAACTACAAAGTTGGTAAAGATTTCTGTATAAACCTTTGATTACGGTTTATAAACCTTATAATTAAGGTTCTTTGGATTCTGTATAAACCTTTACAACAATGACATCACACGTTGTGTAGCAAGTAGTTGTCATGGCGGTGACCAAATAATATTGCATTGAGTAAATCCATTCTACACCTGGACATCAATCAATGCTTGTTGTGCAGATGTTTTGCAACATAAATTTTGACGAAAATTTATTTCTATATAAAAGTACACATATCGTTTGTTTGCTTTTTTAATTAATATGTAAGTACACTTAAGTTAATTAATATGTAATATGCACACTAATCAATATACCTTTATAAATTTGGCTAGAGTAGTTGCAGTACATAAAAATACAATATTCTTCATAATCAAGTCCGTTCTCTTGCATACGCCGCGCATAAATTAGTGTCGACTCCTGCCCTGGGAAGCAGCGCTCGCAAAAGGCGCAGGCGTGTGAAACCCTCCTCGGAGTGCGAAACAGCGGAGTGAGGCGGAGCGAAATCTATTCAGCCCTTTTCCTCTATTTATTTCTCCACTTCGTTTTATTTCGCCTCTTTCATTCTTCTTTGAGATTACAGCATCTTATCCATTCCCATGTACCGTATACTGTCTATACTCACATATGAGATTCTCTCGACTTAAATTGCGTCAATAGTCAACGTAAAAAATTGCGCCAACAGCGCGCTAACGCAAGAAGATTTGAGAGTCTTATGGCCTCTTGTCGTTTTCGATTCTTGACGTAACGTTTTACTGTGTGCGTTTTGATGGAGTGTTTTCGGATAGTGATTTCCACTAATTATTTATTTATCATTCAGAAGGATCCCTAATTCTTACCTAACTGAAGAATGAAACAGTTTGATAATGTTAAAACTGATGTATTTGTGTTTATTAATTTAGTATGTACTATTTATTTGTGTTCAGATACTTAGTCAACGAAGAAAAGTGCAACGTTCTCGTCTTAAGACAATTTCCTCTAAGCGTTATGCTATTCATTTGCCTTTATGATATCCATAATTCTTAACTTTGTTAAAGACATAGAATGTTATGTGGCGGATGTCGAAGCGATTACAATAACCTGTCAATACTCTTCAAGAGTGGGTGCTCATGCAACACTGGGTGCTTAATTCATCTTTGTTCGCGACTTTCCTCCTAAGGGCTATGATGATATTTGTTTAGTTTGTCAAGTGTTACCTCAACAATTATACGTGGTCTTGACTTCCAAGTATGGTTAAGTTATAATTGCAGACGTACATGGGGACATTTCATAAATAAAGAAATTACTGCCATCTGACGTCTCGCAAATATAAATTACACCCACACAGTGACACGAGTCGTTCAAAAATTACTATATCATTCTAGCGGACCATCCAGTCCACAACAATAAAAACTATTGGTGACAATGTGAACATCTCACGCTGTAGCAAACTCTGGAAAAGGGACGACGTACGATAAGTGATTCTATATTTGTTTTCAAAAATAAATTCATTGTGAGATATGTTATTATACAATCTTAATAGATTGCATGAATGAAGAAGAATGACAGATCTAATCCAATTTAGAAATTCTTCATAATGTAGGTGAATGCTAGATATCATTAAATATTCGCAAAGCCTTTGTGCATCATCGCACATTGTAGCCCGCGAAATAATACATTAACTAACAGTGGTAGAACAGCACTTACTTTTTGCCTTCCTTGTAATTTTCGAAAATACAGAGGGTTACCGAAAATGGTGTGTGCTTTTTTTTAGCTTCCTTTGTTCTATCCGAGGGGAAACATTAAAGAAAAATGTGGTATGTTTTTTGAGAAAAAATGTTTAAAAATTGCCTATTTTTCACCCAAAATTACACAAAAAATTCGCATATATTCGAAAAATTGTCCTTGACTGTATTTAAAGACCTCTCTTTGAATAACATATTTTATTTAGGAAAAATATCAATCTTCAATATTTTCTCTTGAAGTAAGACGCCTAAAATGTAGATTTTTGCAATTTTCGAAAATTTGCAGTTATGATCGATATTGTAACTTATGGCATTTTTAAGATATCCAAAGAATATTTTGTATTAAAAAAATTGAAGCCATTTTTTTAAAAACGTTATGTTGAGGTTTCTTGTCAAGTACCCCAAAAATCAAATATCTGTTTCAATCTTGCGAGTTCGTCAAGATTTATCAGGCTCTCTGAATTTTGGAGAAAATCATCTGAAAAGTTAAGGTGTTAGTGTTGACCACAGACGGACAGAATTAGCCGTGAACCAATTTTTCGGAATCGAGGACCTACAAAATGGGAATTCTGACAACACAAGCTGTTAGAGGGAGTCATTTAGTACTTACAAGTTGAAGTATCATTGACGCCTATGAAACCTAGGGTTAATAAAAATGTACTTCAAAGTCATCTTGAAATACCGTCATGCACAATCATAAGCATCAACTAGTGTAAAGGGTCATTTAAAAGGCAAATATAAACACAAGCATGGCGTTAACATAAAAGTTAGGATTACGTCCACAAGCGGACTCATTTACAATGCGTTTGCATAAGCATAACACGGAAGACGACGACTCAAAAGCTTCTGTGTTTATGCTTAAGTAAGACATAAGAAATGAACCAATTATAGTACGTAAACTCAAAATGAAGTATCGAAAGAGGATCGAAGTCGATAGACGAACTAACTACTGTTTACTCTACCATGGGCCATGGAGAGAGTTGATACTTCGAAATCAATTCTCACATGCAACCAATAGTAAACTAAAATACCCACAGCCAATAGGAATCATTTTTGTTGGATATAGTGAATACTTCAGTCTATCTCTTATGTTAATTTTTACGTGTGTGTATGCGTTATGCTTATGAGTGTGTTTGCGTGTGGGAATGCCGTTGTGCTTACGTGTGAGCGCGTGATGGCGGTTTGTGTTCGCAGAGGACGCGTGGGGCAGCCGGCGCTGGCGCCGGCGCGGCGTTGGTCGGTGTCGGGGCCCGGAGGCGGCCCCGGTGGCCTGTTCACCCCCAGCCCCGGCCCAGCGGCGTACGCCAACCACCCGCGCTACGGGCAGCCCTCGCGCCTGCCCTTCCTGGTGAACGGCGAGGTGGACACGCCCGTGCCCGTCATGACCTTCGCCGCCATCTTCCCCTACGCCATCATCCCGCACCTGGACGCGCAGGTGCTCGAGTTCCCGCTCGACGTGAGTAGCTCCATCATCATCATCACTCTTATTGTTATTTAACACAATTACACACAATTTACCGTAAAAAGCGAGAGCACTTTCCACAGAATTAACTTAATACGCACCCAACACCGAAAGCAGAAATGTACATGAAATCAATTTCAACGGACAAGAGGGGTTAATGTTTTCCAATTCCAGTTAATAGATTCAAGAGACTGAGTAAGTGATGACCGTTACGAATATGTGCTAATGCGAAAATGTCGATCTCTAAGCAGCGAAATAGAGACATGATTAAGAGAATTAGAGAAACTAGCGGAATTCCAACAGCAATTACTTCTTCAGATTATTCGTAAAATTAAAGCAAGAATTTTCTTTCAGAAATATGAGTAGCTGTCGCGTAGTTTTTGGTGAAATAGTTGCAATTAACAACACACGGAAACAATATTTTCCCCAAAATGGCTTCTAAGTTGTTGTTTTTCTCGAATAAAGCAAAGTTTACTTCATAATGTGGCATTGACCCGATTTTCATTACGTACTTCTAAAACTTTGAAATTTAAAATATTTTTGGACCCTGTCTCACGCCTTTAGTACTGAAGCCAAAGATTTATATCTTCATTTAGTCTCCATCTCAATATTGTAGGGAATATTGGAACTAAATAGTGTAAGGAAAACCCTCTAAGCCTTTTATCTGTAAGTTTCCGGGTTTGAATACCAACCTGAGTAAATCTTTTTTCTTTTAATTTTCTCTACGAATAGATCACAATGCAGTGAATTCAATAGCAGAAAGTCATTTTCATTTGAAGATTTAAATATTTAAAAAAATAGAGAATTATATACGTAACCGTTAATATTACGTAAATACCGAATATTAATATTACGAAACCGTTACCCATAATATGAGAAAGTATGTGTTTTGTAGTTTATTGTTTTTGCAGCTGCTGACACCCAAACGGGTGGGCATATCTAAAGAGAGAGTGTAATTAACCTACCAATGGGCCTTTTGGAAGAAAGGGCTGCTCGCAACGATCAATACAGTTGAAAGAAAGGAAAGGGTCAGTCTCGATGCCACCTAGTGGAGTCTGAGTGGAGATCAACTGAGACCTAGTGGAGTCATGGTTATGTGCGCCCTAGGTCATAAATTTCGTAAGGGAATTCAGTTCTAAACTAGAATTCTGCTATCATTCAACAAAGAATTTATCTAAACCAAAAAATTGTCAATTCAATGCGGTTTATTACCAGAGTACCGCGTGCCGTCAACAACGATAATTGTGATTGTGTGAACGTAAACAACAACTTTATTTAGATCCATTTAGTCAAAAATTGTATGTGACGTATAGGGGAGAAGATAATCTACACATATTTTCTTTGAGTTCCAGAATCCCTTCCTATAATGTTAACTGTAAACTGTTGAAAGATGAGTAAAAATTAATGATAAATAAATAAAAATGAAATTAAAAAAGCGCTAGATTAGCGACATTTAAAAAGCGAGACATTCTCGTATTTAGTAACTGAATTGAATTGAATTAACGGAAGCCGTCCGTTAAGAGTAGCTTTTCGTTCCTCTGTTTGTAGGGTTAAGCTGATATAACAGTAGAAAGTCGCATGCAATCAAGACGTAAGTGAAATTGTCGCGGAGGTGCGGTTTGCTGCCCGGCGCCCGGGCGACGACATCCAGCCGAAGGCTTCTTGGCAAAGCTTCGACCACGTTTTCGTGGTTTGCTTCGAAACAAATACGGAAGAAGCCCACGAATATGCGGTGGAAACGTCGAGGATCAATCCTCCTTCGGGCCGACGCTTCGCCCGGACGGCAAACACGTAAACTCCGGACGCGGAAGCCTACGGCGTCGACTTCTGAATTTGTTTGCGTTGCACACAAAGAAGAGTAGCTCGGTCTGGGTGTCCGAGGACGTCTGTATTTAATATCTGGCGCGAGTTTCGGGAAACCAGCACAATGGCCGTAGTTCCGAAGCCAGAAACTCCAACATTGCCGAAGTCGGTTTCCATTACGGTAAGGCGTTGTGTTGAGATGAAATGATGATAAGGGAAGTTGTGAGCATGAAATGGACAAATGAGATGTAGGAGAAAAAAGATTCCCTGCGGGAATCTGCAAAGAACTCGCTTTGTCCACCACAAATGCCTCTTGGATTGGACGAGGATCGAAATTCGGCACTGGCGGTGGAAGGTAAGCGAACGGTGACTGCAACACGGGTCGCTCCTCCGATGACCGATCGATTATTGATTCCGGGCGCGTCAACTGCTAAGGACCCGTAAGTGTAGTGCATGTTCTATCGCGGAAGATGGTGATCTTCCCTCTGCGGGATGGCGAGATCCGGCGCCGACCTACCCGTCCACTAGCAGGGTTTTCCCAAACCAGGTATCTCCCACCAGCGTGGCACCGCCCCAACCGGGACATGCTCGAAGCTTCCGACCGATCTCCCGACAAGTGTGGTAGTGTTGTAAACGTAAGAGTAAATGCGTGTAAGGGGCGAGGATAGAGCAAGGAAGAGGAAGGAAAGATCGCACGCGAGACGCTCCACCGAAATTGTTGTAGCGTACAATGACTGTCCAGCTGGCGTGCACTCGTACTGGGTCGTTTGATTTTGAATTCCAGGTCATACAAGTTAAAGCAATATTACTGTGAAAGGATACTCTTTCCCAGAAAGCAGAATCGGAACGGCGTTTTGATCCCAATCCAGTTCCGGTGCTGACTCGGCGACTCGAACAGAAGGCCCTTGAGTACGGAGGATGTCCATTAGAATGAGCTTTTTACTTTTTATAATTCTGAATTGACGTACGTTGGCTGTCCTTCGCCGTTAATGTCATTGTATGCGATAGCGCGTTGAAAAATAATTATTTCCCCACCACTATGTATTATACTTTTCACATTATACATTATACGTTTGTGGTAATCTACGAATTCTGATGACTGAAGCGTCTACTGATTTGGTCGTAGTGTACTCTTCCACTTTAAAAGAATTTGACAATTAATTAATTTTCATGATCAAAATAAACGGTTATGAAATCATCAGAGTTGGAGTTTATTCCCTCTATAATTACCATATTATTAAAGGTGAAGATGATGATAAAGCATTTCTTTGTCATTCTTCCATTTGCAAAAAAAATATCGGAAGCCAGAGCAAGTAGTTACATTCATTAGACAACACAAGTTCATGGCCTACTCTTTAATTTTGAAACAACTGGCCCATACCGTGAAATTGAATATGTTTTGCATTTTGCATTTGTATTGCATGTCCAGTCTTCAGTGCAATAAATAAGATTGACCAGATATACCAAGACATTTATTCTCTGCTTCCAGAGATCAAGGACTAACATTGAAGCTTTGGAATACCATCGATCTGATGTATGAAAGTGTGGTCATGACTGCATATTTAAACTGTATGTATACTAAAGCTATCCGTTGTTCGAAAAACAAGACGATAGTAACTTGTCGCAAGAGAATATTTATGTATTACATAAATTTAGTATTAATTTATAAGCATGATAGGTACGGTACAATAAAAATTTCTTATAATTTATCAACATCGATATCGTGAACTATTTTATTAAATGAGAAATTGGATAATATGCAAACATGTTATGTACATGTGAAAACGTGAAGAATGCTACTCAGTAGCAACAATATTATTTTCAGAATTTCTAATATGGTGTAGTGGTTTCAATTAAAAATAATCGTATACATATTGTGAAATGTTATTAATTTTTCTTTCTAATACTACTCGTTAAACTTCCATCTCCGGAATCGGATTTTAAATTCCGGTCGTCTCCGGTTCAGTTTGTGGTTTGCAAGATGACTTCTCGGGCTTCTCCCGCCCCCATCATTTCTGCATCTTCATTCACAGCGCATTGTCATAATCACGTATCCATCACGTAATTCAAACTATTCCTGATATGCCATAAACCAATGAAGCTTAGGTACAAGATTTACACAAGGGGAAACAAGTATATCGACCTTTTTTTAAAATTTATTGATTTATGATCACTTTATAACTTCAAGGTCATTAGCGACCCCGACAATTGCATATACAAACATAATCGTTACAATTATGTCAAGAACAAAACCATTAAATTTAATCACATTTTCACAATATGTAAGGTTTAATCTAACAAAGGTTCTAGTACAATATTCAGCTATATAAGGATGCACAGTTTGTAGTTACTAAGAATTTTATTATTTTGGCACACCTGTCTGTAGAGCTGAGTAATGATTGTAGGGTTCCTACAATTTTCAGAAGTTTTCTTATATTATTAGTAGTAGGGCATTCAAGAATAAGGTGGGAGGTGGAGACTGATGAACCACACTTCGGGCAGGGTTTTGGATCAGATCTGTTAAATAGATGGCAGAAATTGGTATTAAAATGACATATCCTTAGTCTTGTGTCCACAAGACAAGACTGTATCGACCATTGTTTCTTACGACTAGTGAATCAATGTCAGGGAAATGAGGTTTTGAGAAGAGAAGCAGTCGGACGGGCAGATTTCCTCCGCCTTGACGTCTGATTCCCCACTTTCTCTTAGTGTCATAATGAGAAAGTGTGAAATGCTGACCAATATTGTGCAACGTATTATGATAAAATTTCTTACAAAAGAAAACATCAGAACCAGTGTAACTTGAAAAAAAATTAACTTTCAGTGCGGGAAATAAAAGCAAGAAGCAAGACAAAATCTGGTGCAAGGGGTTTCGAGGAGGAAGATATACCGTAAAAAACAAAGTATGTAGTACGACAACCAAGTTCCTTCCCAAGAAATATTGCAAATGACATGATCTTATTGAAAGATAAGTCACTTGACAGTGAAAGAAATTCATCAGAGGCAAGAGATTGCATTTAGAAGCGTTCGACATCTTTAAATAAAGAGAAATTGATTTAGCTCAGATGGATTGACACGGAACACCACACTCCAGCCGAAATATTTCATCATACAGCACAGGCATATCGTGTATGTGGTCCCCGTAAAGAGGCTATAAATGAAGACTTGCAACTCAATTACACGCTCATTATCTGTTTTACGATTCCGGTATAAGGCAACTCCGAACGTGACGGACAAAATGTGTAGAAAGACGAAAATTATTATTAGTATTTGTTATTATCGTATTGTTAGTATTGTCTTTAATGACCAGACTAGATATTTATGCATCGCCCTCCCCAAGATGGACTGTATTTGGCATTTTTAAAGTTGGCATCACATAGGCGCCGAACGGCACAAAATATTGTTTGACTCGACGTTTCTCACGATCACGACCAGCAGCTTCCGGCTTAGGTGTCTCAGGTCATAAACTGATGTCTCTGTATTGCCTATGAGTGGGAGGTTCTAGAGTTCAGGACCCAACAGTGGTAGGATTTTCGATTCTAGATAGAAAGCTAGGTCAAATTCAGCCACTGTGTGGAAGAGAATTGTAGCGGCAGGTTGCTCTGATCTCGGGGTTTCTCCTATCAACACCAGGTGAATGCCGGGGCAGTACCATAACACGGACCGCGTGCGATCTTTCCTTCCTCTTCCTTGTCCTGTCCTCACCCCTGACACACACATGCACTATACTACACTATCTTGTAGCTCCCATACTTTTAGATTACAAAAAATAATTGTACGAATAATAAGCAAATCCCACCCACGTGATTCTTGTAAGCCTCTCTTTATCTAACTAGGTATCTTACCATTACCTTGTCTTGATATAATCTCTATGCATCAATGGTTTTTGTCAAAAATGTCTTACTTGAGGGTCGGAATATATTTTCAGTAAACGCTGATGTCTATAACTATCAACAGCTCGCTACAAAAAATTCACATACAATACATGTTCATTATTTTACAACACCTTGTGACATTAAACGATTAAATTCGATACAAAATTTTAAGTCCCAAGTAAAATATTTTCTGCTGCACAACTGTTTCTATACAATTACAAACTATGCCGAGCATCGAAAAGGAATGTAATATTAATTTTAACAACGGCACTTACTGTATTATTTACCATTTGGATTGTATAATTCTCAAGAACATGTAACAAGAATTGTACTTTAGCTTCTATGTCAATAACTCCCATCTCAATCAGGTTTCTGCCCAGTAACCCTGATCCTTGAGCAAATGCTGATATGGCCCACTGTTTTGTTTCTGGACATACATGTAATTTCAAATTAACTTCTCCCCATAGCACGTCACACACAGTTTTTAACTGTTTTGACGTAAATAAATAAAATAAATATCACACGTGTCGGGAGACCAGTCTTGAGATAAAGCTTGTTCCTGCAAGAGCAGTGCTCCGCTGGTGGAAGATACCTGGTTGGGGAAATCGTCGCAAGCCGACGGTCAGGGTGACGCCGGATCTCGTCATCTAGTGGGGGAAGATCACCTCTCGCGACAAAAGCATGCACGACACCTAAAAGACTAATGACCTTAGCGGTTGACGCGCCCGAAAATAATAATAAACCAAGCAATGCAAGTTAATGACGGGGCTCCGGCCTTCGGCCTCAACGAAAACAATTTTGAGGCTGGGCAACTCGTAATTTTCAAGGCATTTAATGCCAAAGTACTTTGTTACCACACAGTTTATTGGAAAACAATGTACAGAAAGGGAATTTACTGAGTTGAATGTAAAAAACTGAGTTAAAATTGAATTTTCAAGGAGGCAGATATTGAATAATTACTGCGAAAACGCTTGATAACAATCTTTTATATGTCTCTTTCAAATCGAACTTTCTAAATTCTTAAAACCAAATCTAATTTTCATCGAATGGTTATTCCCACACTTATTTTTCTTTCTCTCTCTTTCTTTCCTACTTTATTTCTTTGTGTACAGTATTGTCTTCATGAAAAAAAATTAAATAGTCACTTCACTAAAAGAAACCTCGCACTTCCAAACTATTTAACAATATTGCCTTCGTTACTGAGAGATTCCTTTAGTAGTTCTAAGTTGCCATACGCTGATTTCGCGGCGTCATATGTTGATTCGTCGTCGGGATAAGACCCCTACACCCTATTGGTTCTTCTCCGCTGGCGTCGCTTGCGAAGGGGCCCTTCCCTTATTCAAGTAATTTCATTTTAATTCTTTTTATTATTAACCTAACTGACATAATAATTATACTAAATCTTCCCAACCATATACTTCGAGGTAGGCAACTGACGAGCCTGCCAATATGAACGGACGTTTATTTCCCTCCGAAGACTGAAAATGTTTTCATGAATCAGCAGGACTCGGAAATGATTTAATAAAATTATTCGTGATAAACGTCAATATTTGTTGGACATTGTTGGAAAACGTGTGTCCGACGCGAGAATTATTTCACAATATTTGGCTCGCTCACCTTGTGATATACATTCCGTATTGCATATATAGATGTAAGTGTAACTCCAATTCTTGTGTTGAATTGTTTTCTATATTTGTGGTCAGTATATATGAAAAACTTGGAGCACTAAAACGAAAAGCCACACTAACCACAGCTGACTCCCGGTATTCGTAAATGTTATTCTCACGATTGTGCTCGAAGTGTATTTCATCTTGTCATTGCTCCAACCCCCTTCTACTATTGATTTCATGAACAGTTGTAAAATAATGTGTCCCATTTTAATCTAACTCTTGCATAGTGTTCACTTCATCAAATGAAAACTTGTGGTGCTACAGTAACGCATACTTTCTCGCATTAATTCTAAATTTGCAATGTTTCGAAAATTGAGAGATCAACGGAAATGAGATTCTTTTCAGCGCCCTTCTTCCATCCGTGGAAAATATTTGAAGGAAAAAATTGGGGTGGTTTTCGAGGAAAAAAGTATTATAAAAATTAAATTTGCCTATATTTTGCACAAAATTACCCGAAAACTACTCATTTTTTTGAAGGGTTGAACATGACCTTATATCAATATCTCTCTTTAAAGAACATATTTTATTCAGGGAGGCTTTTACCACGCATTACTACGCCCATCGTACCACTCTCATAACAGATAAATTAAATCTCAAAACATTAACATTTACTGACAGACGACGACACGTCTTGGTGTCATGTTCATAACTTGCGCCATAGCCGAACCTTATCACCTCCGCGACTGTGTGAGTCAGACGAGCGGCAAGGCTGAACCCTGGCTGTGAGAAAGTAAACAAATCCTTGCAAGCTGATTGCTTCGGAGCAGGTCACATGACGTCGAGTCGCTGCCGGTTCTGTTGTGCACAATCGCCTCTTGGGGCACTGGCGCAAAGCGAGCGCGAGAAGGTGCGAGTCGAGTGGTGCAGAGGTGCGGCGTGCGGTGCGTGCGCAGGACGAGCGCTACCGGCTGGTGCTGGTGCTGCCGCGGCGGCGGCGCGGGCTGGCGCACCTGCTGCGCGCGCTGCGCTCCGTGCCGCTGCGCCACCTCTGCGCGCAGCTGCTGCCCACGCGCGTGCACGCCGTCATCCCCTCCTTCATGGTGGACGACTACGTCACGCTCACCGCCGCGCTGCAGAAGGTGAGCCCTGATGCAGACGCGTGGACTGAAGTGCGATTTTTATGTATCTGCCCCTCGAAGCACTACTTCACTGCTTCGCGTCTTTCTCGGTCGTGCCTCTAGATGTCGCCTGATCGCGACCGTATGCAGCACTGATGTACTAGCGGCACGACCGAAAACGTCGCGAAATATAGTGACATAATGACACCCCGCGACGTAGGACCTTAGGGAGCATAGTCCACAAAATCCGCAGTGAAGAGGCTTAATTTTCTTCTCATGTTTTAATTCAATATCGAGGATAAGTATAAATAACTACGATGCAAAAGAGTAGACTGTCGATAATGGAAGAGGTCGTTCATGAACCGCACCTTTGGCACAACTCAAAGAAACAGTTTATTGTTCTTCGTAGGACTTCTATAATTTAGTGTAGTCATAAATTATTTCATAATCCTTCATCCAATACAACACTTCATTAACTTCCATTTAAGTCATTAATATCATTTAAACATAAGAATTGATATTAAGTAGGTAAATGTTCAGAACTATTCCACGAAATACCATTATGACGGATGTCAGGTTGGACACAGCTTATCGGTTTGAAATGTTGTGTTAATGTTACAATCAGTGTGCAGTTCTTGACCCATTTGTTCATGTAAAGAGAGACTCGCTAAGCAACCAAAAGTAAAAGATGAGGGTTGTAGCAGCCGCGAACGCGACGTCCAGGCAACCGCAATCGGCTTTCGCAAGCCTCGTTCTTCGGTGTCAAACCCACGCCTTCCATTTCATACCTGCGCGCTACTTGCTGGCATAGCGGCAATCGTGACACGCGCGTGTGTGTGTGTGCTGCAGCTGGGCATCTGGGACGTGTTCGACCCGCGGCGCGCCGACCTGGGCGTCATGACGGACGATCGCGAGCTGTTCGTGCGCAACATCGAGCAGTCCATCACCGTCGTCATCCGCAACTACGTCGAGGTCTTCGACATCCAGTCACGTAAGTACCGGCGGCCCCGCTGGAGGTTGTGCTAGAAGAACCTCAGAGGTTCACTTTGTAGTATAAGGTCCTTCACTGCCATAAGAACTGGAGGCGTTTATAGTGGTGCGCTCTTCCCTTGCACTTTCTTGAAGGAGCTATGTGTTGTATGAAACTTCAATGTGCTTGACGTTTGAGAATCACGGAATGACGTCGAAAGTGGTTTGGTTGTGGCACGCACCAGCAGCATCAATTACTGTGACGTAACTTATCTTATTTTTTTAGGTCGCTCGGTCATATAGCGACCACTCTAACTTTTAACGTTGGGGTAACGGTGGGGAACATATGCTAACATCATACCCAAACATACATGCCGGCGCGCGATTCGAACCCGCCACCCTTGAAGGCAAGACAGGCTCTTCAGCCTTAGCGTCTTCAGCTATCCAGGCCGGCACAATCCAGCTTTGTTGCGACCAACCCTGAGTGAATACAGGAATGAGATAGAGAGCCACGCTGTGGACGCCCAAAATCAAACCCGTACCTCTTTAAACGTATCCACGCATTATAGTCAACAGAATGAAAAGTATATGGGACTGAAATCTAGAATTCACGTTCGATTGCGTACGAAAGCTCATACAGTGGCGTGGCAATGGTAGTAAAGCATGACAACGCTGCTTAGGCCGAGGCTCAACTGTCACGCTCGGAGAGTTGTTCAACGAATCCGACAGGCTGCTGCCAGCGCAAATAGGGATGGCGTGTGCACCAGGCAAGGTCTAACAAGCGGGCGCGTCAGATGGAAAATCACGTTTTTTCTTATGTTTGCCCTTTATATAGCCATGTTTCAATTTCTAAATGTTATCATTATAAATATTTGATCGTCGCAAATTTAAAATTTTCCACCAACCGCCACAAACGTTTGCTATCTAGAGTGGGTGAAAGTTACGCAATACCTCACCGAGTGACACCAGCGCCCCGAAATCTTCAACCCTGTAGTTGTGTTCATAGTTTCAATGGGGAATTAACTGTAACCTGTACAGAGCCTCGTGTGCTTTTCCGATAAGGAACTTAACTCACGTTTTAAGAGTGATGGCTGTTGCAAACTATCATTAACATATTATTTTACAAAAATATGTTTATTTAGGCAATTATATAAGTGTCAAGTATTCGAAAAATTAAATCATTTTTAACAGAAGAGGCAGGTTTGATTGTTAGAATTTATCCTTGTGGTCATGTGCTCCGGTAGAGGTTTCGCTCTGTGATTGCATGTGGCACGTTCTAGTTATTCTCTTGTGCAAGCTCACTTACTGATTTCCCTGTGTTGTATATTTTTGTTACTTTTCCAAACCACTAACTTCGTCAATTTGAACACTTGTCGCTAAGGAGAAGCCAGTAAGCCACATTTGACCTCATTGTAGTCACAAGAGATCGTACTGCAAACTAAACACAGAACGTGCCTTTCAACAGTTGTTCTAAGAGCCCCCGCTGGTCATGTTTCTTGCTCGTACGACACGCGTAAAATGCCTCGTATGACAAACCATAAGGTCTTGCGTCTTAACTACTCTTGAATGGCATAAATGTCATAATAAACGTGAAAGTCATGGCCCCAAGATAAGATGGACATTGATGTGTCTAAAATCTCTTTTGTTACAAGAAATGTGAATATTTCACGCTACCCTTTGCAAAGAAAATTTCAGAGACTAGTCTTCCAGTTTCAAATAGTAATGCAGTAGCTGAAACCGTGCGATTATATCGCACAGTAGGAGAGCTGTAGACTAGTTACCACAGCAAATGCTGCATTTCCATGAATATACACATGTTTTATATCAACAGCGTGCACCATTCTCGATGCTTTTCTGCTTCTGGTATCGCATTATCAGAGTTTGTATCCTCGGTATTACATACACGATGTATCAAAGTAAAATAATATGTACTTCATACATCTATATTCAAAATGATTATCAAATCTGTATCATTACATGCACAACAAAACATCTTATTAATCGTTCACTATTAGAATGTGGCGTCGAAATCTCTGTAAACTGTTTAAAAATTGTTTCGTGTGTTGACAATTGCTTTCATACTTCATTCCTTTCATGCCCAGTTTTGTTAAAATATGTTCTTTTAGTATCTGACGTGGACTTGCCAATGAATCGTAGTAGCCGATAATGTTATACTCACGTTCAAAAGTTCCTAACACCCAATGACCTTGTATTTTACCTCCATACGAGATATGAACTGGCCTTATTGCGATTTTAAAATTATAATCGCCGTAACATACTTACAGGTTTTGCTTCTATTAGTTAAATTTTACGTTTTTACGCTTTTTTTAATACGCACAAAAATATACAAAGCACATTGGCATTAGCAGAAATGCTAAATGCAAATATGATAATCCTTCCCAATTAGTTCCTAAAATTCTGTCGCAACATCTTTTACAATTACATTTGATTCTTCCCCGGTTTTCCTTAACACTTCTTTATTTTCTCTCCCCTAATTTTTGAAGAGATTAAAAATTTACAAATTCAGTTTAATTTGTGTTCATTTCTACTTCTGCAATTGCTCTATTAATAATTTTGTATGCGAATCTAGCGTTGCATGGGAATCTAACATTAAAAGATGACTGTTTTGTATGTTCATATAAATAACGTGTTAGTGAAGTTTAACAAGAATAAGTTGTGGGTCACATACATTTGAAAATCGGTATTTGCACACTTACGTAAGAACAAAAAAGTGTGAAGTCGGACATATCATTTATTCTCTAGCATTACTCACAGTTTTGTTTTCTCCATATTCACTTGAAATTCTTAAAGTTTAATAAGTTCCAAGGCAGTACTGTTTGTAAGTTTTCGCAGATTTATTTTTTTAAATACGATAATTCGAATATTAATTGATATCAAACTGCAGCGCGATTTACATCGTAATTAAATTGTTCACTAAAAGATGTCAACATCAGTGTTGCCAACGCTGTGAAAGAAAATTAAGGAGTATGAAGTTAAAAATGCCTTTGAATATTGTTTAATCAACACCGCCTACATAGATCGATTTTGAGGCGTTGTTAAATTCACCGCATTATCACTAAGATTGCAGTGCCAAATCATAAAAAAAAACAAGTTATGGAAATTTGTTTGAATCTTCTTGCCGGATCCGAAAACAAATTACCAGTTCCCTAACAGGAGACCGGGACACATCGAATGACACCACAAATGTCTCGATTAGTGCACGGGAAGTGGTCTATCCGCGAGTGACGGAATCGCATCCAAGTGCACATACGCACTCAGTATTAAAGTTTTACTTGAATACTGTATTGGGATTTGCGTATAGTATACAACCATGAAATTCAATGAAGTATTTCAAACCTCGCTCTTTCTGTTGGTAATCAATATCTATATCTATCGCGCAGATCAAATGTTCAAAGATGTTCATGAATGGATCCGGCAGGCAGGGGCTCCAGCACTATTCTATTTTTGTACAACGGTTACACCGAGAAAGAGAAGACAAATATTTCATCTACACAATGAATTTTGGAGTGTTCAGACCCGGTTATGCATGTAACCGCAGTTTTCTTCTAGGTCGATGTGAGATTTTTGATGTGTAATTCATGTGTATTTTTTAAATTGTATACATTCATCCAACTCGCAATCCAACTACAATCTATACATCCAACTCGCCAAAAATACTTTTATTTTGCACAATTTGTTCCCACGTACGTCCACGTCGCTGAGGTTTGCGTGGGAAACTCGTAATACTCATAATTGGTTAACATAAAATTAACGCGAGTTACCTTCTCTCAAATAACTGACAGTCTGTACTTACCTGCCCCGAGTATCTGTACCTAAGTCGTAATGTTGTATACGTACCATAGGGTACAATTTACTAAACGAATGCACTGTTTCTAGCATTTGCCGCTAGTTGCTTCTGAAGAGTAGGTATCTGCGGTGACTAATGACCGATGCGCATGCCACAAGGTCTTCTCGCAAAAGGTTCGACCTTGTATTCTCAAATCAGAGAAACGGAACTGATGTAACTGACACTACAGAATTACCGTAACGTCGAATTCTACCGTTTTTGCCACGAAAACGAACGTTTCCCACCGTGTGACGAAACGAATGTTTTAACAAGGCATTCTTTACCTGCTCTGGAAAGTAGAGATCTGTTCTGCAGCCTTGATCTTTCACAAGCACCTGCAATGACCACGCAGTCTCTGAACCCTTGAATTCGGGCTTGCGCTTTATCCTCGTTCATCTTTTCCCACTGTCACTCACATTCCGTTGGCTACGAAACGCCCTGATCTGGGGAAACACTACAAGAATAACGACTGAACCCATAATTGCACGTTAGTATGAAATAACTAAAATCATTAATGCGTTCAGAACATTCAGTTTGTTCTTCAGAAGATCTAAAACGTTGCCATTGAATAAAATCAATTTAAGATACTGTAAGTTGAGAAAATATCACAATTTTTATCAATCGGATTTTTTAATTCAAATACGCCGCCATTTCTAGCGCCTAGTGTACAATTTCCAATCTTCCTAATGTGATTTTTTTCATTTTAGTTGTATTTGTTATGTGTTTATATTATACGATTTGCTTTTAAGCAAATTGTCGTAAATGATCATATCTTTAATAAACTTTAAATTAATTTTAACCTAGAATCATCATTGAATATGAGTGAGGTAATAATGTGAAATTGTTTCTGAAATATATATATTTTTAAATCCAATCAATCATTTGTAATAAGTAATTCTGTGAAGAAAAAGTTTTGTAATCTCGGAAAACTAGTTCCTTGGCAATATCACGGGAGCTTAAGAGGTATCTAACATGCTCATGCAAAGCACAGATCTTATCTATGCCGTGCAGAATAACATAAGCCATGAATTTTAACTTCAATGCGAGATAGGTTTTTCACACTTAAGTTAGTTTCGTCGGGGTACAACAAAAGTGGCATATATAAATTGTCATTTTGCAGGGCAACAGTTTTAATTTAATGTAGGGGCGGTTATTTTCGCGTCCAAAGGCATCTT